GTGATAAGCTCTTTACATGCACCAACTAAAAAAAAAAAAGTGCTATTATCCCCAATTTACAAATGAGAACTGAGATTTTCAGAGGTCAAATAACTTGACCAAGTTCAGAGTCAGGAGTCAAACAGAATTATGTGACTTCAGAGCTGTGCTATAAGAGCTTTCATTTTTAAAGCAGCCCTAGTCCTCTAAATTGCCTTGGCTGCAGTCCCTCTCAACCAGGATCCAGGATCTAACCCCTGGTTCCTTATTGGCTATAGCTCCATTTAACCTCTGCTGACATTCTGCCTGTCTGAGCTTCTCAGCTTGGTAGCACAGCACCTCTACCTGGTGCTACCCTATCTGGAATCCTGAGTCTAGCAAATCTCTGCTGCCCCCACCTGGCACCTAGAAGTACAGAGGCCACTTGGGCCCAAGTCATTCCTTACCAGCACTGTCCAATACCCTGTATGTAACTAAATTTCCCAGAGGCTACATTAATAAAGTAAAAATAGAGGAAATTAATTTTGATATATTAATATAACCCAATGTATCTAAAATATGAACACTGCAATACCCAAAACTTGTTAATGAGGTATTCTACATTCTGTTTTCCATCAAAATCTAGCATGTATTTTCTACTTACAGTACATCATAATTTGCACTAGCCACATTTCAAGCACTCGGTAACCACATGTGGCTAGTGGTTACTGTATTTCTACATTTTAGCCTTAGACATTAAATCCATTAGCTAATGTGTTCTACCAAATCAAACTGGGTTATAACAGAAGTATATCACTTGAGAGCCAATCTGATATAGTGAGGAAAGCACAGGCTTTATAATCAGACAGTCTTGAATTCAAATCCCAGCAAAATAAAAGTACAAAAAAAAAATCTTCACTAATTGGTTGTTTGTAATAGTGAAAAATTAACATTTTTTTTTACATTTCGTTCACTAGGGTAATGGGTAACAAATTGTGGTACATTTCCATGATGGTATATTGTACATCATTTAAATGAACAAACTAACTCCACATGTGTGCACAACATGGATGTAACTAAAAAAATGTCTAGTGCAAAAATGTATTGAGAAAGCTTCAGTATGAGACCATTTTCTTAAAGTTTAAATACATGTAAAATAATATAATGTTTGTGGATATACATTAATGAAGTGAAATTACAAAGCCATGCCTGGAAAGCTTATACATCTAATAATGGTTCTCTGGGAATGGAAGGAGGGAAATAGTGTGACAGTGTGGAAGGGGAGACTTCAACAGTATTTGTGATGACTTAGGAGGAGGAAAAAAATTCTAAGACAAAAACCTAGTTAACAAATGACTACATATTAAGAAGTCCCTTGCCTGAAGAACACTATATGTACACCCTCTCTCTCAGCAGTTTTGAGAAAGCAAAACCAGCAAGTACAATTCTTAATCCAGAAAATTTATAGACAGGCCTCTATCTGGAAATCAGTTTTCCAAGGTAGCCCATCCTCCCACAAGGTAACCCCATACTTTAACAGCACTGGCTTAAAGAAGGTTAGAGAAGCACAGAGGGACAACTTACTAAATATTGAACTTACCGCCTAGACAGGTCTGGGAAGAAATGCCTTTCTCAACAATCTAATGATTTAAGTTAAATGGAGCATGACAAGTGCCTTCATAGGCTGCTCAGTCTGTAGGATTTCTACTTAGAGCTATATCTCTCTGCCTGCCTCTCTGCCTACTTGTGCTTTCTCTCTCTGTGTCAAATAAAATCTTAAAAAAAAAAAAAAGAAAACCTAAAGTAATTAATGCAAAGTTAATTGTCATGCAAGCATTGAGAATTTATTTTTTTTTTTTTAAGATTTTATTTATTTATTTGACAGAGAGAGACATAGCGAGAGCGGGAACACAAGCAGGGGGAGTGGGAGAGGGAGAAGCAGGCTTCCCGCAGAGCAGGGAGCCCGATGTGGGGCTCGATCCCAGGACCCTGGGATCATGACCTGAGCCGAAGGCAGATGCTTAACGACTGAGCCACCCAGGCGCCCCAAGCATTGAGAATTTAATACAATGCTTATAAAGGATTTATTCCTGGGCATATTTTTTATCAACACCTCCTAACCCATCTGTGCTTCTGCAGTGAGGCTTCTTTTTTTTTTTTTTTTTTTTAAGATTTTATTTATTTATTTGAGAGAGAGAGAATGAGAGACAGAGAGCATGAGAGGCAGGAGGGTCAGAGGGAGAAGCAGACTCCCCGCCAAGCAGGGAGCCCGATGCGGGACTCGATCCCGGGATTCCAGGATCATGACCTGAGCCAAAGGCAGTCGCTTAACCAACTGAGCCACCCAGGCGCCCTGCAGTGAAGCTTCTAATGCTAAAGTCCTATGACTATCTCCATTTGCTCCACTATAATTATGCAAAACTGTGCTTTTTCTGCCTGATCCCAGTTCAATTTAAACACTGATTAAATGGGAAATTACTGTGGTGAAAGTATTGATGGAATCATCATAAACTGGCACTTATCCATGGAAACAAACCATCCACTAATGAATTAATTGTACTCTTTATTTGGGGGTGAGGATATTTGATGTAATCAAATGAAGTGCATACACATTCATAGGCCCCAACAATGTCTATGTTACAAGAACAAAAGTAAATTAACTTCAAGTTTTTTATAGCATGCAGGCTCTAGTTAGAAAATGAGGAGTCTGGGGCGCCTGGGTGGCTCAGTTGGTTAAGCGACTGCCTTCGGCTCAGGTCATGATCCTGGAGTCCCGGGATCGAGTCCCGCATCGGGCTCCCTGCTTGGCGGGGAGTCTGCTTCTCCCTCTGACCCTCCCCCCTCTCATGCTCTATCTCATTCTCTCTCTCTCAAATAAATAAATAAATAAATAAATAAATAAATAAAAAAGAAAATGAGGAGTCTGGCGAAAGAGAAAATATATGATCTACCTTGCCCACTTCACAGTGCTTGTCCTGCCAAGTTAATGTCTTTTAATTAATGGAGACAATTAATTTCCTGATGAATAAACATGAACATCCAAAGTAATAGAAATCCTGAGAAAGTTTCTGCAAAGACTACAATAGCCTTCCACAAACCAGCATGCCATTGGTCCTAGGTTCCCTGCACATAAAACTCGAGTGCTTTTTAAAGGTATTTTATGGTTAATCTTTATTTCCATGGTGGGTTTAAAAAAGAGGCAGCTAAATTAGCCCATTTGGACCCTTTATAAAAAAAAAACACAATATTAAACCAAAAAGAGATAACCATACCCTAGCTTTTCTGGAGATGAGCCTGGATTGGATCTGCCAGAGTAGAGTGCTTAGCAGCTGAGGTATTCACTGCGCACTCTCATCTTTCTGGGACCTGTGCTGAGGGATGACAGGGTCCTCTGACTTCCTTAGAAGTCATGGATATCTAATAACCCATGGATATCTAAGAACATGCTATTCAAAACATAGAACAGATAACTTCCCTGGATAGATAAAGCTCATTACTAAAGCAAGCGAGTACATCAAGTCATGCAATAGGAGTAAACAAGGACCAGACATAACCTGGGTCCATCAGAAATAGAGGCATCATAGATATAGGCAATCAGGTGTGCACAGGCCAGGGGAGTAGTTGGAAAAGACAAAAATGCCTGAATTTCTTAAGGAAAAAACACTCCCAGGCAGAGATGAGTCCAAATTTTAGTACCATGTTTTTAAATATTTTTTGTTTCTAATGATAGTATGTTCTCATCTAAAACAAAATCCAAACAAAGAAAAAAACATTTAAGACACCCATGACCCCATTTGTTCTTTCAACGCTGTGTGTAATTAAGAGCAAAGTCTCTCAACTTCAGCACTATTGATATTTTGGACCACATAATTCTTTGTTGTAGAGGACTGTTCTATGCATTGTAAGATGTTCATCAGGATTCCTGGCCTCTGCTCACCAGAAGCTGGTAGCACCACCCCAGCATAGCAGCCAAAATTATCTCCAGACATTGATAAATGTTCCCTGAGAGGCAAAGTAGCCCCCAGTTGAGAACCACTCTTTCAGAGGAATCACATAAAATTCTGAAACCAACTTTCACTTAATATATTGTAAGCATTATTCTATGTAATTAGAAACATTTCTGCAGCATCCTTTTTAATGGCTTCTGAACAGTCTATTACATGATGCACTATAATTTATTCAACTGGTCCTTAATTTGTTTAATCAGTCCTTGTTTCCAATGTTGTGCTATAATATGATGAAGATCTTTGTACATTCATATTTTGGCACATAAATTATTTCCTTAGAATATATTAAGATTTCTGGGTCAAGGTTTTTTTACTTTAGTTTTTTAACCACATTTTAAAACTTTTGATTTACCCTTGCATCACTTTCTGTTTGATATTGTTGTCAGCCTTTACTTGGGACATTTTATCCCACCCTACTCCATGAGTGTAGGGATTGATTTCCAACTGTTCACTACAATATCCACACACAACCTTGAACAGTGCCCAGTACATAGGACCAGCTCAGTACTTATTGAATAGAAAAATGGGTAAGTGAAAAGTTAAAATTTCAAACACCATGCATATTACTAGTTTTGAAACTAACCTTGTCCAAGAAGAGCACATTTGAGGTTGATCCTTAAATACCATATAAGCTATAGATGTATTTCAGAGAAGGAAGGATATTAAGAAGAGGCAGATTAAAAGTCCAAGATTTGAACACTTGATAGTTTCAAGTTTGCAGCTGGAGTGAAGAGATTTTGGTGGAGGTAGGGAAGTAGTGAGTTATTTATTGAATCCCCAAGCTCTGGGTGTTCTTTAAAAGACAATACCTGTTCGGGCGCCTGGGTGGCTCAGTTGGTTAAGCGACTGCCTTCAGCTCAGGTCATGATCCTGGAGTCCCTGGATCGAGTCCCGCATCGGGCTCCCTGCTCGGCGGGGAGCCTGCTTCTCCCTCTGACCCTCCCCCCTCTCATGTGCTCTCTCTCTCTCATTCTCTCTGTCTCAAATAAGTAAATAAAATCTAAAAAAAATTAAAAAAAAAATAAAAGACAATACCTGTTCACTGTCCTCACGACTGTACTGCTTCATTCCTGGGAAGAAAAAAATAAAGACAAAGTGGTTTCTTTGAATATTTTCGTAAGTCAAGACTAAGAAATTTGAAAGATGCTGCTTTGGCTAAGTATTTGTCTTGTGATGGAAACATTCTGAAATGAGATTAAATAGTTCATCTGAATTAATACTCTGTACTTGTCCAAATCTAATTAGTGTATCTTGAACCCCAGAGTCACTGGGGAAAATACAAATCTAGTTATAATGAGGGCATAAAAAATGCTTCAAGTAACAGCCCATTTTGCAGCTATGTCCACCCACAGATGGTATAATATACTTCTCAGAATAAAAACCCCAACTCTCTACATTCTTACTTACTCTTCACCTATTGTTGAAGTAGCTGAGTTTTTTGGTTTTTTGTATTTTTGGTTTTTTGTGGGTTTTTTTGGTGATAAGCTACACCTTGACAGGAGCACAGATGGAAGGGCAAGAATATGGTGTGTGTTCCTCATGTAAGATTCAAGGAGGAATCCTAGCCAGGATGTTCATAAGTGAGAGAATTAAAGAAGATAAAATATGTAGATCCTGGCAAATGAACCATACCATCCTCACTGCTTTATTCCAAGGCCACATCAGTTGAACAGAATATTAATCAAACTCCAATAAAAAAAATTAAAATGATTGCCTTTATACTCCAATTTGTTTTAAAACTTAAGAAACCTCCAGTTAGCTATCATAAGGGGAGTCCCTAGGTATTGGAAAATTATGTAACTGCTGCTGAAGTTACACAAACATCATTGCTAGAAATTTGGTAGATTGCCTTTTCATTTTGTTTATGGTTTCCTTTGCTGTACAGGAGCTATTTAGTTTGATATAGTCCTGCTTGTTTATTATTGGTATTGTTGCCCCTGCTTTGGGTGTCAAATCCAAAGAATCATCACCAAGTCCAGGAGCTTACCACCTATGTTTCCTATTAGGAGTTGTATGTTTCCACATCTCATGTTCAAATATTTAATCCATTTTGAGTTGGTTTTTTGTGTCTGGTGTATGATAGTGTCAGTTTCATTTTTTGGCATGTGGCTGTTGAGTTTTCCCTACACCATTTATTGAAGAGAGTGTCCATTCCCTATTGTATAACCTTGGCCCCTTTGTGAAAAATTAATTGACCACATATGCATGGGTTTACTTCTGTGCTCTCTATTCTGTTCCATTGATCTAAATGTCTGCTTTTATGCCAATACCATACTGTTTTAATTACTGTAACTTTTTAATTGAATTTGAAATCAGGAAGCATAATGCCTCTAGCTTTATTCTTTCTTAAGATTCTTTTGACTATTCGAGGTCTGTAGCTCCATTAGTACTTTAGGATTGTTTATTCTATTTCCATGAAAAAAGTCATTGTAATATTGACAGGATTGCATTGAATCTGTAGATTGCTTTGGTAAATGAGCATTTTAACAATATGAATTCTTCCAATCCATAACTATGGAATATTTTCCCATTTATGTATCTTTTTGATTTCTTTATTCCACATCTTACAGATTTAAATGTACTGGTCTTTAACCCACTTCATTAAGTTTATATTTTTAGGCATTTTCGATGCAATTGTTTTCTTTCTCTGATACTTCATTATTAGTGTATAGAAACACAACTAATTTTGTATATTAATTTTGTATTCTGCAACTTTATTGAATTCATTTATTAGTTGTAACAGTTTTTCAGTGGAGTCTTTAGAGTTTTCTATATATACCAGGTCATCAACATATAGTGACCTTCCTTTCCAATTTGGATGCCTTTTATTTCTTTTTCTTGCCTAATCTCTCTGGCTAGGACTTACAGAAATATGTTGAATAAATGTGGTGAGAGCAGACATCTGTCTTGTTCCTAATCTTAGAAAAAAGCTTTTAGCTTTTCAGTGTTTAGTATGATGTTAGCTGTAGACTTGTCATCTATGTCCTTTATTATATTGAGGTACATTCCCTCTGTACCCACTTTGTTGAAACTTTTTGTCATAAACAGATATAAAATTTTCTCAAATGCTTTTTCTGCATCTATTGAGATTATCATATGATTTTAATCCTTCACTTTGTTAATGTGGTGTAAGCATTGATGGATTTATGGATATTGAACCTTTGCATGCTTGGGATAAATTCCACTTGATCACAATGTGTAAACCTTTTAAAATACTATTGAATTCAGTTTGCTAATTTTTTAAAAGTTTTTACTTATTTAGGTAATCTCTACAACCTACGTGGGGCTTGAACTCATGACCCCAAGATCAAGAATTTCATGCTCCTCTGACTAAGCCAGCCAAGTACCCTTCAGTTTGCTAATATTTTGTTGAGGATTTGTGCATCTATGATCATCAGGATTATTGGTCTATGATTTTCTTTCTAATGTTCTTATGTGGTTTAGTATCAGGGTAATGCTGGCCTCATAAAATGAATTTGGGAGTGTTCCCTCTCTATTTTTGTTAGAACTTGACAAAAATGAGTACTAATTCTTTAAATGTTTGGTAGAATTTAGCAGTGAAAAGACCTGTTACTGGGCTTCCTTGTGTCCAAAGTTTTTTAATTACTAAATTAATCTCCTTAAACATTATTGGTCAGTTCAGATTTTCTGTTTGTTTATGATCAGTTTTTATAGGTCATATGTTTCTGGAAATTTATGCATTTTCTCCAGATTATCCAGTTCATTGGCAGATACTTGTTTATAGTATCTTTTTTTCTAATTTAAATTCCGTTAGTCAAAATAGTACATCCTTAGTTTCAGATGTATTGTTCAATAATTTATCAGTTGCATATAACACCCAGTGCTCATCACATGATGTGCCCTCCTTAGAAACCATTACCCAATTACCCCATCCCCCTACCCACCTCCTCTCCAGCAACCTTCAGTTTGTTTCAGATAGTTAAGAGTCTCTCATGGTTTTTCTCCCTCTCTGATGACTTCCCATCCAGTTTTCCCTCCCTTCCGCTAGGATTCTCTGTGCTGTTTCTTATATTTCACATATGAAACCATATAATTCTTTCTCTGAATGACTTATTTTGCTCAGCATAATACTCACCATTCCATCCATGTTGATGTAAATGGTAAGTATTCATCCTAACGGTGCAGTAATATTACTTGTATATATATATATACGTGTGTGTGTGTATATATATGTGTGTGTGTGTGTGTGTGTGTGTGTATATATATATATACACCACATCTTTAACCATTCATCTGTCAATGGATATCTTAGCTCTTTCCAGTTTGGCTATTATGGACATTGCTGCTATAAACTTTGGGGTGCAGGTGCCCCTTCAGATCACTACATTTGTATCTTTGGGGTAAATACCCAGTAGTGCAATTGCTGGGTCGTAGAGTAGCTCTATTTTCAACTTTTTGAAGAAACTCCATACTGTTTTCCAGAGTGGCTATACCAGCTTGCATTCCATTCCCACCAACAGTGTAAGAGGCTTCCCCTTTCTGCACATCCACGCCAACATCTGTTGTTTCCTGACTTGTTAATTTTAGCCATTCTGACTGGTGTGAGGTGGTATCCCATTGAGGTTTTGATTTGTATTTCCCTAATGCCAAGTGATGTGGAACATTTTTTCATGTGTCTGTTGGCCATTTGTATGTCTTCTTGGAGAATGTCTGTCCATGTTTTCTGCCCATTTCTTGACTGGATTATTTCATTTTTGGGTGTTGAGTTTGTTCTTTATAGATCTTGAATACTACCCCTTTATCTGACAGGTCATTTGCAAATATCTTCTCCCACTCTGTTGGTTGTCTTTTGGTTTTGTCAACTGTTTCCTTTGCTGTGCATAAGCTTTTTATCTTGATGAGGTCCCAACAGTTTTTTTGCTATTGTTTCCCTTGCCCTCGGAGACATGTCTAGCAAAGAAGTTGCTATGGCCAAGTTTGAAGAGGTTGCTGCATGTGTTCTCTAGGATTTTATGGATTTCTGTCTCACATTTAGGTATTTCATCAATTTTGAGTCTATTTTTCTGTTTCAGTAGAACAGATACTAGTTCTTCTTTAAATGTTTGGTAGAATTCCCCTGGGAAGCCATCCAGCCCTGGACTCTGTTTGTTGGGAGATTTTTTTTTTTTTTTTTTTATTACTGCTTCAGTTTCCTTGCTGGTTAAGGGTCTGTTCAGATTGTCTATTTCTTCCTGTTTCAGTTTTGGTAGTTTATAAATTTCCAGGAATGCATCCATTTCTTCCAGATTGCTTAATTTGTTGGCATATAGTTGCTTATAATATGTTCTTAAAATTGTTTGTATTTCCTTGGTGTTGGTTGTGATCTCTTCTTTCATTCACAATTTTATTTATTTGGGTCCCTTCTCTTTTCTTTTTGATAAGTCTGGCTAGGAGTTTATCAATCTTATTAATGCTTTCAAAGAACAAGCTTCTAGTTTCATTGATCTGTTCTACTGTTCTTTTCATTTCTATGTCATTGATTTCTGCTCTAATCTTTATTATTTCTCTTCTCCTGCTGGGTTTAGGCTTTATTTACTGTTCTTTCTCCAACTCCTTTAGGTGTAAGGTTAGCCATGTGTATTTGAGGCCTTTCCAATTTTTTTTTTAAAGATTTTATTTATTTATTTCAGAGAGAGAAAATGAGAGAGAGCACATGAGAGGGGGGAGGGGCAGAGGGAGAAGCAGACTCCCTGCCGAGCAGGGAGCCTGATGCGGGAGTCGATCCTGGGACTCCAGGATCATGACCTGAGCTGAAGGCAGTCGCTTAACCAACTGAGCCACCCAGGCGCCCTTTCCGATTTTTTGAGAAAGGCTTGTATTGCTATGTACTTCCTCTTAGGACTGCCTTTGCTGTATCCCAAAGGTTTTAAACAGTTGTGTTTTCATTTTCATTTGTTTCCATGAATTTTTTTAATTCTTTAATTCCCATTCATTCTTTAATAGGATGCTCTTTAACCTCCATGTATTTGAGTTCCTCCCAAATTTCCTCTTGTGAATGAGTTCAAGTTTCAAAGCATTGTGGTCTGAAAATATGCAGGGAATAATCCTAATCTTTTGGTACTGGTTGAGACCTGACTTGTGACCCAGTATATGATCTGTTCTGGAGAATGTTCCATATGCACTCAAGAAGAATGTGTATTCTGTTGCTTTGGGATGGAATGCTCTGAATATATCTGTGAAGTCCATCTGGTTCAGTGTGTTATTCAAAGCCCTTATTTTCTTGTTGATCTTCTGATTAGATGATATGTCCATTGCAGTGAGTGGTGTGTTGAAGTCCCCTACTATTATTGTATTCTTATCAATGTGTTTCTTTAATTTGGTTATTAATTGGCTGATATAATTGGCTACTCCCAAGTTAGGAGCATAAATATTTATAATTGTTAGATCTTCTTGTGGAATAGACCCTTTAAGTATGATAAAGTGTCCCTCTTCATCCCTTACTATAGTCTTTGGTTTAAAATCTAATTTGTCTGATACAAGGATTGCTACCCCAGCTTTCTCTTGATGTCCATTAGCATGATAAATGCTTTTCCACCCCCTTACTTTGAATCTGGAGGTGTCTTTAGGTCTTAGACAGCATATGGATAAGTCTTGCTTTTTTATCCAATCTGATACCCTGTGTCTTTTGATTGGAACATTTAGCTCATTTACATTCAGAGTAACTATTGAAAGATATGAACTTAGTACTATTATATTACCTGTAAAAATCTCTGTTTCTGTAGATTGTCTGTTTCTTTCTGGTTCCCAATGCTTGGGAACTCTGTCAGCCCAGGGACCCCCATTCTTTGTGTCCCCACGGATCCTGAGACCACACTGTCCCACCTAGGATTCTGCCCCACTTTGCCACCTGAGCCCCTTTCAGGCAGGGACTTCTCTCACTGGAGCAGACTTCTAAAGTTTCCGATTTTGCACTCTGGCGCTCTTTCACTTTCCAGTAGCCAGCTTACAGAGGCTCCCTCCCCCGGCCATTTATCTTCTGATATATCCCCTCAGCTTCTCTTCTCTACACCTTCTACCTTGCAAAAAGTGTTGCTGTTCCTATTTGTAGAATTCCAGCAATTCTTTTCTAACATCTCAGGTTGAATTAATAGGTGTTCAGAATGATCTGATAGTTATCTAGCTAAGTTCAAGGGATCAGGTGAAAGAAATCCCCTACTCTCCCACCATCTTCCTCCCTCCCTTGTTTATAGTATCTTTTTTGATCTTTATGATTTTTCATATTCTTTGGTTTCTATGTGTTGCCACCTCTTTCATTTCTGATGTTGTTTATTTGGGTCTTCTCCATTTTTCTTAGTCTAACTAAAGCTTTGTCAATTTAGTTTATCTTTCCAAAAAAACAGGTCTTTGTTTCATCACTTCTGTTGTTTTTTTGACCTTTATTTCACTTATTTCTTCTTTGATCTTTGTTTCTTTCTTTCTGCTAACTTTGGGTTTTGTTTGTTCTTTTTCTGTTTCCTTGGAGTATAAAGTTAGGTTATTTGAGATCTTTCTTGTTTCATGATGTAGGTATTTACTACATGGAACTTCCCTCTTAGAAGAGCTTTATGTTGCATCCCATTAGTTTTGGTATGTTTTATTTACATTTTCATTTTTCTCAAGGTAATTTTTTATTTCCTTTTTGATTTCTTCTTTGACACTGGTTCTTCAGTAGTATGCTGTTTAATCTCTGCATTTGAATTTTTCCAGTTTATTTCCTATAATTGATTTCTAGTTTCATACCATTATGGTCCAAAACTGTTTGATCTGATTTCCGTCTTCTAAAATGTACTAAGTCTTGTTTTGTGGCATTACATATAATATATCCTGGAGAATATTCCATGTACACTTGAGGAAAATGTATATTCTATTGCTTTTGAATGGAATGTTCTGTTTATGTCTAAGTCCATCTGATCTAACATGTTGTTTAAGGCCAGTGTTTCCTTATTAACGTTCTGTCTGAGCTATCCATTGGTGAAAGTGGGTCCCCTTGTAGGATTGACCACATAATCATTATATAATGATCTTCTTTGTCTCTTATTACAGTGTTTATCTTAAAGCCTATTTTGTCCGTTACAAGTATCACTACCCCAGCTTTCTCTTGGTTTCCACTTATATAGGTTATCTTTTACCATCCCTTCACTTACATTCTGTATGTGTCTTACATCTGAAGTGAGTCTCTTGTAGGTAGGATATACATGGTTCTTATTTTTTTATCCTTTCTGCCCATCTGTGTCTTTTGATTGGAGAATTTAGTCCATCAACATTTAAATTATAGGTATTTATGGCCATTTTGTTCATTGTTTCTGCTTTGTTTTTCGTATATTCCTTTCTTTTGCTCTACTTTGTAATTTGGTGACTTTATTTACTGGTTTGCTTAATTCCTTTCCCTTTGTCTTTTGTGCATTTATTGGAGGTGTTTGCTTTGTGGATTTGTGCATCTATGATCATTAGGCTTACATAAAACAACTTATAAGTCTATTTTAGATTGATAACTTAAGTTCAAACACATTCTAAAGCTCTTACTCCCTCTTCCCCTTCAATCTGTTTTTGATATCACAACTTACATTTTTTTTATCTCATGTATCCATTAACAAGTTATTGTGTTTATGGTTATTTTTATTACATTTTTCTTTTAAACATCATATTAGCTTTATAGGTGATTATTCCCCACTACTACAACATGAAATTATTCTGATTTTTACTATGTATTTACCTTTACCAATGAGATTTACACTCTCGTTTTTCTGTTAGTAATTATCACCCTTTCATTTCACCTTAAATAATTCCTTTTAGTATTTCTTGTAAGGTTGGTTTAGTGGTGATGAACTCCTTAAGCTTTTCTTTGCCTGGAAAGAAATCATCTCTCCAATTCTGAAGGACAGCTTTGTCACGTAAAGTATTCTTGGTTGGCAGTTTTTTTCTTTCAGC